CTATAGTCTTCCTCAATCTCTTTCTTCAGAAGTGTATAGTTTTCCTTGTAGAGGTCTTTCACATCTTTTGTTAGGTTTACACCTAGGTATTTGATTTTTTTGAGGCTATTGTAAATGGAATTGTTTTCATACATTCTTTTTCAGTTTGCTCATTGTTAGTGTATAGAAATGCTAATGATTTTTCTATGTTGATTTTATATCCTGCTACCTTGCTATAGCTATTGATGATGTCTAGAAGCTTCTGAGTAGAGTTTTTTGGGTCTTTAAGGTATAGGATCATGTCATCTGCAAATAGGGATATTTTGACAGTTTCTTTACCTATTTGTATTCCTTTTATTCCTTCTTCTTGCCTAATTGCTCTGGCTAGGAATTCCAGTACTATGTTGAATAGGAGTGGAGATAGTGGGCATCCTTGTCTGGTTCCTGATTTTAGAGGGAATGGTTTCAGTTTTTCTGTTAAGTATAATGCTGGCTGTAGGTTTGTCATATATAGCTTTTATAATGTTGAGGTACTTTCCTTCTATTCCTAGTTTTCTTAGAGCTTTTATCATGAAATGGTGTTGGATCTTATCAAAGGCTTTTTCTGCATCTATTGAGATGATCAAGTGGTTTTTGTCTTTGCTTCTGTTAATGTGGTTTATTACGTTTATTGATTTTCGTATGTTGAACCACCCCTGCATCCCTGGGATGAAGCCTACTTGGTCGTGGTGAATAATCTTTTTGATGTGTTGTTGAATTCGGTTTGCCATTATTTTGTTGAGGATTTTTGCATCAATGTTCATTAAGGAGATTGGCCTATAGTTCTCCTTTTGGAGGTGTCTTTGCCTGGTTTTGGGATAAGTGTAATACTGGCTTCATAAAATGTGTTAGGCAGTTTTCCTTCCCTTTCTATTTCATGGAACAGTTTAAGGAGGGTTGGTATCAGTTCTTCTTTAAAGGTCTGATAGAATTCAGCAGAGAATCCATCAGGTCCTGGACTTTTCTTTTTGGGGAGACTCTTGATTGCTGCTTCAATTTCATTTTGTGTTATAGATCTATTCAGGTGATTAATTTCCTCTTGGTTCAGTTTTGGATGATCATATGTATCTAGAAATCTGTCCATTTCTTTAAGATTTTCAAATTTATTTGAATATAGGTTCTCAAAGTAGTCTCTGATGATTTCCTGGACTTCCATGGTGTTTGTTGTTATCTCCCCTTTTGCATTCCTGATTCTACTAATTTGGGTTTTTTTCTCTCCTCATTTTAGTCAGGTTTGCCAGGGGTCTATCGATCTTGTTTATTTTTTCAAAGAACCAACTTTTTGTTTCATTAATTCTTTGTATGGTTTTTTTGGTTTCTATTTCGTTGATTTCAGCTCTTATTTTTATTATTTCTCTCCTTCTATTTGTTTTGGGATTTGCTTGTTCTTGTTTTTCTAGGAGTTTGACATGTATCATTAGGTCATTGATTTGGGATCTTTCAGTCTTTTTAATATATGCACTCATGGCTATAAACTTTCCTCTCAGGACTGCCTTAGCTGTGTCCCATAGGTTCCGGTAGGTTGTGTTTTCATTTTCATTGACTTCCAGGAACTTTTTAATTTCCTCTTTTATTTCATCGATGATCCATTCTTCATTAAGTAATGAGTTATTTAGTTTCCAGCTGTTTGCATGTTTTTTGTCTTTACTTTTGTTGTTGAGTTCTAGGTTTACTGCATTGTGATCAGATAGTATGCATGGTATAATTCCTATTTCCTTATATTTGCTGAGACTTGCTTTGTGCCCTAGGATATGATCTAACAATCCATATTTCTTTGTATAAGTGAGGTGATTTGCAACCTGTATTTCTTGGTCATGTCACTTACCATTTCTCAACCCCATTTTTCTCATCTGTAAATGGGTATAATAGATAGTATTGTCTTCCTCCCTGCCTCTGTAGGAATCAACAGGACAACGCATATGAGAATGCTCTGGAAAGTGCATGGGGCTTTGTAGGTCAATGGCTTATGCCTGCTGAGCTGATTGGAACATTTACTGTTGGTCCAGGTTAAACCCCACATTTTAGATTATGTAGGTGCATTGAACTGGCAAGTTTTCTAGTTAACATCAACAATTTCCTCTATTTCTTAATATATCTTCCTCTTTTTATCACAAGAAGGGAAGAATTGCCATGCATGTTATTAACATAGCTGGTTGACTTTGGTGTCACCAAAGATCAAATTTGACTCTGTTTAGGGTGATAGGAATGAAATAACAGATAAAACCAGTCTTATTTTAGTCATTAAAGCAATTCAGTTTTACATTATTCCAGGCTATCACTCCAGCACTGGCATGAGTTGGCAGGTAACAAAGAGCATACCTTGATCATTTTTCCATGGATTACAAAGTATTTACAAGTCCTATCAGTCTGTGACTAAAGTTAGGCTTCAGAAATGGCATTTTAATTGTTATACTAATATTTTTCCTAGGGGATTATTATGCATGGGAATTTAATAGTGATTTCTTAAAAAGTGTAAGGCCAATGGGTAAAGCAACATGGTATATCCGTACCATGAATACCACTACACCATAGAAAGGAACAGACTGCCTCCACACAGTAACATGTATGAGCTGCTGAGTGAAAGAAGTCTTACATAAAATCACACACACCATATGATTCTGTTTCTATTCTGTAACAGCGGAACCATCCTGTAAGGTGAAAAATAACCACAAGAGTGGTTGGGAAGATGGACACCATTTAGAGGGCAAACATAATGAGAACTTTGATTTACTTTAAATTACACCAACTACCACATTTCAGCGATGTGACTTGTTGGATAGATGCACAATGATACATAGCTAATAAAAATTAATTAGTTGCAGAATCTATCTAATGGTTGTTCAAGTACCCGTTGTCCAAATTTGTGGCAAGTTTGAAAATTTTATGGTAATACATTTCAAACATAGAACTTCAGAAAAATCTATTAATATAAAAAAGTACAAAGGCAACTCTTGCTTAGTGTTTTTGGTGATGTGATATTCTTGCAAGCATTGAATATCCTTACAGATATTAAGCTACTTGTCAAAGCTAAATGAGAATTTATTACCTTGCCTTTTCTCAGAATGCTGAATAAAAGAGACATCGAAAATGATAAACACATAAGAATTTCTGAGTTTTCAGTGTATCACATGAATTGTTATCAAATTAAAGTTGTAATTAAAAACTACTTATTACCATATTTTTGACTGCACATCATTTCACATACATTGTTTTCTTTTGTTAATCTCCATGAACCATCTTTTTAGAAATGGTAGAGTCTAAAATACAAAAAAAAAAGCAATAAACAAGTGACAGAATTCAATTCAGAATATACCATTTTATGAAATAAGTTACTGATAAAGAAGCATTGTTGAAAGCCTTGACTTTGAGGTAGAAATAATATCACCTTGACTTTTCATACCCTGAAAATTATTGGAATTCAGAAAAACTGAATTTAAAAGAGTGTGACAAATTAGAGCATTGTATTTCTTTGAAAGGACAAAATTCAGGAGGTACATGTATAAAAGCATGCCCTTCAGAACCAAGAACTAATAATAAAAATATGGAGTGGGGAAGCACCACTTATAAAGAATCTAGCCATGATCGCCTCTCACTGACTATTCCCTGTCTTCTGCACGAAGGTTGGGTCTGGCTTACACACATATTTTGTAAGTAATATGGAAAAATAAGACAGGATTGAAAGATGATGAAAATAATGAAAAACTGATACCATTAGGAAAATCTGAGGGTAGATGAAATTCTTTAAACTCTTAACAAGGTTGAATGGTTACCCAAGAGTTGATTACTATTTTCAGTTACATGAAGTATCTTCATAAGGACATTCTATGAAAAACTATCAAAGGAAATGGATTAAGTTAGGAGATAGTTTAGTTGTGCAAATGCAAGAATCTCCAAATTTGAGGCTGGTTGAACACTAGAATAATTATGAAGAGACATTTTGGCATCTATGTCCCTGGAAAATTACATAAACATAGCATAAATTCTCTGTATTTAGACATTTACCTGCTAGAAGTTAAGAGCTAATTCGAATGACCCCCTAAATTCGTAAAATAGACCTGCATAAAATGATAATAACAATTCATCCTACAATAATAATTTGAAATACCAACTTTAAAGTTTACTTAATAATCACTACATGTAATGATTCTTTTTGTCAGTGAACATGTCAAATTATATATTTCTTTGGTGTCTATAATACTATTCTTAACTTCATTTTTGTATTGTATAATTATTATAAAGTAATTATACAGTATTCTACCCTTATCCTTTGGAGATAATGTTTCAGAATCTCTAAGGGGATGCTTGGAACCACATGAAGTTCTGAACCCTGTATATACTGTTTTTTTCTGTACATACAATGATAAAGTTTAATATATAAGTTAGACACAGTAGGAGATTAAAATAATAGCTAACAATAAAATAGAATAATTAGAACAAGATACTGTAATAAAAGTTATATGAATATGATCTTTTTCTCTTAAAAGGGTCCAGACAGATATTAATATTCCTTGGTCATAGTTGACTTGCGGCAAACTGAAACTATGCAGTGAACTGTGTGTAAGAGGAAATACTGTAATGCCAACTCTCACTTAGGAGCTGGGACTGTAGCTCGGGGATTAAGTGTTTGTGTAGCATGCACAAGGCCCTGGGTTCAATACCTAGTAACAAAAAAATGTGTAAACTCTCATCTTCTGTGACTGTTAACAACAATATCATTGCAGGGAGGTTTTATATTTACAACTGTTATACTCATGAGTGTTTTCCCTTGGTAGGGTTAAATAGATCCATGTCTATTTAACATGCTTTGCCATTTTACTCTGCTACAGCACCATCCTACCATCCAGAACAGGTGAGAACTGAATGAGATAAAAATGTCACCTTGTGAAAGTCAAGCAAAATCCTCTTTTGCCTCATCTATTGTAATCTCTGTTTTGGTTTCTTCATCTTATTTCTTGGCTCACTTTTATTCTTATCCATTACAGAGCAAAACTTGCTTCCTGTTGTGATGCTGTTCAAAACTTCGTGGTTTCTCAAAACAACACTCCAGTTGGAACTAACATGAGTTACGAGGTGGAAAGTAAAAGGCGAATTCCAATTAGAGAGAACATATTCCATATGTTGCCCGTGGTGAGTAGAGATTGAATGTGGGTGAATTTTCCCTCACTTATTACTTACAGTAACGAATGAATAATTGCAATACTACTGTCAGGTCTTTTCTGTCAAAGGGATTAATGTGTAGTATATTATCATTGTACAGATGTCAGCTTAACTTCCCTGAATTGTTGCCTATGTGGCTTGTGAGGTGTCACTTAATCCCGTAAATTCCTTTGTTTTAAACAAAGAGCTATTCTTCATTGCTGGGCAAGTTCCTGTTGCTCTCCTGCCCCAAGGGCACTTAACCTGTGTGGCCCATTTCAAATTAGCCAATCATGGAGATAGTGAACCCAAAACCCATTCAACAGGGTTTCAGCAGACTTGCGTTACAGATAAAAACCTGAGAGGACTTCTCAACCAGTGTGCTTGCTAACTGGACTCTTTGTCTGTGGCACACCCTTCTGCAGAAGTAAATTTTGCCTTGCCTTTTGACTTCTGAGTTGTGTTATCTATCTTGTGACACCCCAATATCCTGAATTCATTTCTAACACTACTGTACTCCATTTTGTTGTATAAAATACATATAGTGGGCCATTTTTTTGTTTTGGTAATGCTGGGGTTTGAACTCGGGGTTTCATGCTTGGTAGGCAGGTACTCGATCACTTGAGTCACACCTCCAGCCCTTTTTGCTCTGGTTATTTTTGAAATAGGTCTCATTTTTTGCCCAGATTGGCTTGGACCACGATCCTCCTGTTTTACATTTCCTGATGTAATTGGGATGACAGGTGCACACAACCATGCCCAGCTTTTTCTGTTGAGGTGGTGGGTCTCCAGAACTTTTTTGCCTGGGCTGATCTCAAACCTGTGCAATGTTTGCTGCTGTTTACCTTGCTTTCAGCCACCCAACGCTGAGGAGCTGAAGCGATTCTGCCTCTCATTAGGCACTTTGAAAGGAATACACTTGACATAGGCTTGATAAGTCTCTATGCATTAACAGCTACATCCACTTTCCAAGTTTATACCGAACCCCCTGATCTGGGGCCAGGCACAGGGGTTCATGCCTGTAATCTCAGCTACTTGAGAGACAGAGACAGGAAAGTCATGGTTTGAGACTAGCCTGGGCAAAAGTTAATATAACCCTATCTCAGAAAACAAGGTGGGGTGGTGGTGGTAAACTCTGTAATCCGAGCTACATGGGAGGTAGAGGCAGGAGGATCACAGTGACTAGCTTCAGGCAAAAGCACAAGACCCTATCTGAAAAATGACCAAACCAAAATAGCTCGGAGTATGGCCCAAGTGGTAGAGCACCTGCCTAGCAAGCATGAGGCCCTGAGTTCAAACCCCAATACTCAAAAAAATATATATAAAGAGAAGAAATCATACAGCCAACACAGTGACTGTCGCAAAGCTATTTCAAGTTCTTGGGTTGTTTCACCCTTCTCCTCCCGTGGGTGGGGTTCAGATTAGAACTGACCTTGATCCCACTGCCCGCCATGTTGTACTCTGCCCCTGCACACATACACCCCCACTACAACTGCTTTTGACAACACAATGTGGAGGAACTTCCCCCAAAAACCTTTGCCAAGTTACTTGGATAGAGAAACAGCAAAGTTGATTTCTAGCCACAGCGAGCTGTGAGCAGCCATTGAGCTGTGTGTGCCAATTTACATTTTCTTGGGAGGTTTATTTTAGGGAACACTGAGGTTTGTAATTTATTTCAGCTCCTACTGAGCATGAGATCCCAAAGCATAGAAATGTTTCCTCCCTGTTGACCAAGAAACCAGAGAACGCATTCATTGTTTTGAGCGCTTAATTTGAGATATATTTCCTTCGGTCTTCTTTTCTTTTGTACCATAAAGAGCATATTTGCATTTTGGCATTCTACCCTATTTATAAAATTCATAATTTATTGTGGTACTATTGGGCAAACACTGTCTGAAGACATCCTGAGCTAGAATTTCAGTGATATGGTGTAGCCTGAGGTATCTGGGAACTATTCATTTTAGAGCCAAGCCCTGGGTTAGGCATTGTGGATATAAAGAAAAACAAGGCACATAATTAAGTTCACAGGTTAAAGCACTGACAGTAGGAAGCTGTATGCTGTGCTGTGTTAAAAGCAGGTTCTCTAGGGCACAATGCCTGAGTTCATATCCCAGCTTTGCCTATTTGTAAGTGTGGCTTAAATTGATAACCTCTATTTTCCTGTCTGTAAAGTGCTCATGAGGTGGTTGTGTGAATTAAATGTGCTTATAAGTTATGCACTGAAAACATTGTGTCTCATACAGTCAGAATAATGTGACTGTTAAAGTTTAGAGAACTCTACAAAAACAGAAGTAAGTTCTCTTTGGTTCTTGGGCATCACTCAGACACAGCAGGTAGCAAGTGGCTCTCAGTGATTCAAGGATCTGCTGGCAGTCTGGGCTGCTCAGAACCACATCGGTCCCTTTGGCTTTTTGCCAATGGTGCCTTTGGTGTGTGAGTGCCTCAATTTTGCTACTTTTCCCATTTTCAGTGGTTTAGGAATCAGCCCTTTAACAGATCTCACGTTACCAATGGTTTAACCACCAGGTCACAGAATTCCTGCATATTGCCCAGTTGGCTCTTTCAGTCTTCTGCACACTGCTGGGGTTGTGCCAGAGGGGCCACTGAGCTAACGAGTACTTATGGAAAACTCACTGTGTATAGCATGGTACTAGATATGGAGTGAAGGATGAAGGGAAATGAAAAACTAAGAAGCACCTTCTCTGGTATGGAGGACTTACATTCTAGTATCAGAGACCAAAATAAGTGAATCAGGAACTCATCACCTTGGGCTATGACCAGCCACCCTTTCTGCAGCCTCAAAGATGCATTGTGACTCTGGGAAAGTAATCAGAAAAGGAATTGTTCACCATTGGATTGAAAAGTTATCTTTTGGACTGTGGAGGACTTGGGGAAAGTGGGAAACCTTCTCGGGTAAGCAAGGTGGGTTCTAGAAAGAAATAAAATATATTTAGGCCTCAGAAATTAACTTGAAATATGTCAGTGCAGTGTGGGTCAGCCTCCCCCAGAAAACCCTGGCTGATCATTTGCAGACATGACAGACATTAATCTACTGCCTTTATTAAGCCTGCAGGTCTAAGGTCTAACTATTTTAAAGGCAGGGAAACTTCTGCTAAATTAACAATTAATTTTATGCCTTAGAATAAAAAGATTTAATTCTACTTTCTTCTCTCTCTCTTTGGCTGAAAATATCCCTATTTTATAGGTTGGAAAGGCACAATGTGGGATTTTGCCGTCCCCCTTTTATTACTTAATTATGTGATATAAGATACATTATATCACATTTTGTATACTAATATGGTTTGCAGTCTTAGATTGTGTTGTTATTATGATGTTTATTTATTTCAAGAGAAATGAAGCAGGTTTACGTGATGATTTTTTATTGTAAGTTGGAAGTTGATCAGCACATTGTCCTGGTTTTTTTGTTGTTGTTGTTGTTCTTATTGGTTTTTTTTTTTTTCTTTTAGTGCTTTTCCTGTTTTTCTTGGTTCTGTTTTGTTTTTCATCATTAGCCTGGGTGGGAGGTTAAGTTGCTGGCACTAAGCTGGTATCTGTGTTTCTCAAGCCAGCGGCATCTCATGTAGACTTTTGTTCCCTCCCTATAGTCCCAGCCTTTTGCCGAGTACCCTTACAATCATTGTGCTGTGGTTGGAAATGGGGGAATTCTGAACAAGTCTCTCTGTGGAGCTGAAATAGATAAATCTGACTTCGTTTTTAGGTAAGACTTGTCAGAGTGATAACTTTCAAACCAAAGATCTGTTGGATTTTTTAAACGGGTTATGTTAAGGTGCCCGGGTCAATTTTGATGATTGAGTTGTGTTCCTGGAGTCTACAAATTACCAAGATGGATTCTTTTCCTTTTTGAGTTCCTCAGACTGTTCATACCAGAAAGATAAAAATGTGCCATAGTCATCTACTTTTAGGGAACTAGATGAAATCTTGGTGAAAGAGGGCTGGGAAATATAGGACTTATCAGGTCCTTACTGTGGCACCCTTGGAAGGACTCCACAGAGGTACATTTCCCAGACTCACCTGACCTTTTTTTCTTTTCAATTTTTACTTTTTTTTTTTTTAGTTACAGAGCATTTCAAGGAAGTTTTGTTCCCCAGATGAAATGCTGATTTAGGCATGTTACACACCTGCAACATCATTTTCTAAATCTCTGCCTTGAAATAAAAAAAAAATTCTTGGTAATTCTGGTTCTTTAAAACAGCTTTATCTCAATACCAACTAGTTTATGAAAATAGAAACAAGAATGGCTTCTATGTGCACTTCATTCTAATAGCCATGCTACAAAACATCTCTACTTTGAGACTATAACAGAAGGTGATTCATCCATCTGAGGATGGATTTCAGTTGAAACGTACCTTTTTCAACAGTAAGTAGAAATCTGCCTTTTTCTTTTTCAGGAGTATTGATTTTATATATCAGAGACCCTTTGATTCCCATTGATTTAATGCTTCCCTTTCGAAAAATGAAAATAATCCAATGTTCAATAAATAGCTCCTCCCTCATGTTGGTCTCATTTAGATTTTATGCCGAAGGTAATTAGCCCACAGTAGATCTGACAGTCCAACAATTATTGAATGTGCTCTTCATGAGTAATGAATGGTAAGGTGGCTAGTATCTGAATGGTTTGGTCATTTTGTGCAAGCTCTTAATGTGAAAAATGCCATAATGAAGATAAATAATTCTTCATGCACTAGATTTTTCATAGACTTAAAATTCCCCAAACATCTCTGGTAAGTATTGTGCCTAAACATTAATTTTACTTCATACAAAGAATAGGGAAGACAACTTTAGGTTACTCTTAAAACTAATTCTCAGCAGTGATTTGATTTATAACTCTAAAATAAATACCTGTGTTTCTAGCCTCCACTTTTGCTGATACAAGGTGCTTTTCTGAATATAGTGGTCTCTTTGAAGCTGGCCATTCAAACTGAAAGGCAAAATAAGGCTACATGTGGTTGGTGTCATTAAAATATATTTAATTTTTTAAGCCTGTACTTATTTTGCCTATGTTTATAAAACTATTTGGAAATTGCTTATTTATTTTTATTTCAAAAGATTGGGAGACAGGAATTAAGTATGTAAGGAAGAAAAATAATCATTAACTATACTGCTGCCCTACTATGACTGTACGACTGTGTCTCTGTGTATATACTTTATATAATATGTTACTTATATGTATACACATATATGTATATGTGAGATTTATGTGTAAATATATACCCCAATGTTTCCCCAGGAGTCTGTGATACTATATTAAAATCACTTTTAATTCTTCAAAAGAATGTGAGACTATGATTTGTTGCAAAAAGCCCACTAATAAGGTCATTCTGTGGCCCATATCTATAATTAATATTTATTTCCTGATGCATCTTTTATATCAAAGAAGGAAGTACATGTTTCCTTCATTCATATTTCATAGGGCATGGAATAGAATATTTCAGCTCCACTCCCATTACAGACCACGTCATGTTTAACAACTTTCCTTGGGAAGCGCTTGGTGTTTCCTTTTTATGCTTAGCTTTAAAGAGATGGTCCTACTTGAAATTTAAACTGTGTTTAGGGAGTCATAACCATCTTTCCTCTTTTTTTGATTGTAATATACACAGAATTCTTAATTTGTTTTCCAATGTAAAAACAAATTAGTACTCAAAGGAAAATGAGAACAAGATGAAAACATCACTATAAAAACATTAGGGTTTTATTTATTAATACTATAACTTGGTAGCAGAACTACCCATATGGAAATCAGAAGATTTTGGTGTTTCTATGTAATTCTTTCTCTGGCAGATGCTGTATCTTTACTTGCAATGCTTCAATTTTTTATGTCTGTAAATTACTTGGTCATTCTACTATAAGAATATAATCAATATAAATTAATATAAATAATAATTTTAATAAAAAGATTAGCAACACTTTGAAAGCTAGACAAGGTATAATTTTCATTGCTGGCTTTGATACTTAAAAATATCAATGAGACTATTGAAAGCAGGTACCAAGTATGCACATTTTATATAATGTTGAAATGTCAACTAAGGGTTCAGTCCTGGTCACATAGGAGTCCTAGGATCTCATAATGCAGTGATTTTCTCTGATATAAAGACAATTATGGGTATCATGTGTGGATGGTATATAAACTTGTTTTTTAACAATTCATATTTTGAAAATATTCTCTCTTCCGAACTTCCAGATGTAACTTGCCTCCGACCACAGGAAATGTTAGTGAAGATGTTGGCAGCAAGACAAATCTGGTGACTGTAAATCCCAGCATTATAACACTCAAGTAAGTGCCTCTGAGTTACGTAGCTATTCGAGAGCACCTTTCATTGTTTAACATGACTCTAGTCTAAGTGCTAATCTCTTCAGAGGCTGACCTGCAACATGGCTGCAGTGGCTTTTGGGGGGAAATACAAAAGAACCCATTTGCAAATTTTGACATCGCATCACAGCTGTGGCTCATCATAGGTATGAATCAGTTGTACTTCTGGTGTCATAGCTAAATATTTCTAATGAAATGAGAACTTATTTATCCCTTCATTTTTTTAATAATAGTGAATTTAGTTTCTTTCCATTTTATCATTACTCTTTTGTCTTGGGAGCACTTTCTTGATAAAATAGTCGGTTTAGAAATTCTAGAGTAAGCCTTGGTACAGCCTGGCAAAGTACAGTTTTTACTTTGGATAGTTTATTACCATAAAATAATTTCCACCTCCATTTCTATAATGTGACTACTACAAAATGTTAATTAGTTCATTAAAAACCCACACATTTTTCACTTCATTGTTTTCATCAAAAGTGATTGATAATGCTAGGTGGCTCACATATGTAATCCTAGCTACCTGGGAGGCTGAGATTGGGAGGATCATGGTTCTAGGCCAGCCTGGGTAAAAAAAGTTCATGAGACCCCCCATCTCATCTGAAAAAAACTGGATGTGGTGGTGCATTCCTGTCATCCCAGAAATGGCCAGAAGTGTAAAATAGGAAGATTTCACAGTCTGGCCTGGGAAAAAAGAAAGACACCCATCTCCAAAATAACCAGAACAAAGGGGATGGAGGCATGGCTCAAGTGGTAGAGCCTGATTTCAAACCCCAGTACCACCAAAAAAAAAGTGACTAATAATTGTTATTAATAGGATTTGTCCTCCAGACAGTTCTAGAATCTCTTCAGAGAAAGCAAATATTGTGCTTCCCTTCTTTTGAAGACTTACTTTCTAAACACAATTGTTCTTACAGGAATACTTTTTAGGTGTCATTGATCTTGTACTATAGTGATAGCACAATTGCATGGAAGAAGATTTTAAACATTATATATATATATAATTATAATTATATATATAATATATATATATTAGATATTTTATGTTTTCAAAAGGAAACTTCTAATGAACTTTAAAAAATGTATAGCTATACATGCTATGCCTGAAAATATATAAATTTGGAAGGCATTAAATATAAAAGAGGAGTGTTAGAAAATATTGCTGAGTTGGAATATAAAACAATACAAGAAACCAGTAAGAATGTAGCCCAATACAGAAGTAAAAATCAAAAGTCTATCTATACCAAGATCAGACTTTGATAATTACATGTCTGCTTAACTGAATTTTCTCTCAGCCCAGGATTTGTCCCTTTTATGTATGGGAATATAAAAAATTAATTTGACCAGACAAACTCAGATTCTTGTTTCTAAAACATTTACTTTGATTATTATTATATGATTATTTTGATTTCCTGAAATTTGGCAGATATGGGAACTTAAAGGAGAAGAAAGCAACGTTTCTGGAGGACATTGCCACTTATGGAGATGCATTCCTCCTTCTGCCAGCGTTTTCCTTCCGGGCCAACACTGGCACCTCTTTCAAAGTGTACTACACACTCAAACAGTCTCAAGCAAGGCAAAAGGTTCTCTTTTTCCATCCCAAGTACCTGAAACACCTTGCCCTTTTCTGGAGAACTAAAGGTGTGACTGCCTACCGCCTGTCCACTGGCTTGATGATCACAAGTGTTGCAGTGGAACTGTGTGAAAATGTGAAGCTGTATGGATTCTGGCCCTTCTCTAAAACTATAGAAGACACACCCATCAGCCATCACTACTACGACAACACGCTACCTAAACGTGGTTTCCACCAGATGCCCAAGGAATATAACCAAATCCTCAGCTTCATGTGAAAGGAATCCTCAAACTACAATTTAGCAAATGTCAAGTAGCTTAAAGTTTCTTAAAGTGAAAATCATTTCAATAGAATACAATAAGTAGGTGAGTAATAGGTAAAGGAGGTGGTTATACAATACTGTAGAAGCACTCCAAAGCTTGGTTTGACCAAAGCTCCTCCATGACCTTAGCAGCCTCCATCAGTCATTCAGTCTTTCCAATCTTCATTTCCTTCCCTGTAAAATGGGGATCATGATAAGTTATCAAAATGGGATAATTTGTGAAAACTCTTGGTAATAGCTTTGGTGTGAGGTAGGGACTCAGTGACTTTCCCTTGTTAATATTTATAGCAGCCATTTCCACACCCAGCAGACTAATGAAAGGCATGGTGTCCTGCAAATCTTTTCTGAAGAGAATGGCTGAATCATCCATGTTTATTGGTTTTTTTTCTCTCAGACTTCTCTTTATTAATAATACCCTTCCCACTTTTCTCTCTGTCTTAAAAGAGTACATACAAGAAATTTGCATAG